TTGCATCAAATCACTGTCTATCCTTTATTTATTATACAGAAAACGCCATTTTTTTATTAAACACAAACCTCACTACCTCTAAGTTTTCACTATTCATCGTATTCACTCATTATCCATTACCACCAATCTCAATTTCACTACCTAAAGAAAGTGATTACAGAAATTGAAGAATAAGAAGAAAAATATGTGAAAAAGGCAAAGGATGATATAAAACATACCACTGGTCATCATTGATGCTTACATGGAGAAAGCTGGTAAATCTAGGAGAAGGTTTTAATTTTGCGGAGGTGCGGTTATGGTGCTATTGTGCGAGAGGCGTGGCATTGAGGAGGCTTGGTGTGGCGCTCAAGCAGAAACATCTCTTGCAAGCAGTTGGCGGAGGAGAATTTGAATGGCTTGGGACTCTTGGGCAAAGAGGAGACATTCATCAATTACGAATGAACGAACATTGAGAAGGAGCAGAGATAGATGGAATGAGAAAATAGGGTTATAATTATAATAATTTGGGAGCATATTGTTCCATAAAAGTTACTACCTCCGTTCTTAAATAGTTGCAACATTAGAAATTTTACACTATTCACGTGCTTCACTTTGACTATATTTTAGAGAAAATGGCATAGATATTAGTCTTGGACTTCTAAAAGACAAAAGTATAACTCTTTTTAATTATTCCAAAAATATGACTTCCGTTTCCCATTTTTGTCCATCCCTACGCGCTAAACACTCTGCGCTTCATTCCTGTCCAGGAGCTCTGCACCGTCTTCCTCACCGTTGGAGATCTGCGCAATCGGAGCTGAGGAGAGAGCTGCCGCTCCTGCCAATTCGCTGCTGCCGCTGCACTGCCGTCTCTGCACCGCCGTCGCACCTACTAATTCATCCATCGCCGCCACAACTCGGATCCTAGTGTTCTTTTTTCTTCTATTTCAAACCGCCGTCGCCGCCCTCTCCTCGTAGTACTCGATCGGAACGAAGATCTAAATCTCGGAACTGCTGGATTGCCGTCTTCAGCCAGATCCGCCGTCGTCTTCGATGGAATTTTGTCGCAGGGTGGCCGCCGGTGCTAGATCCACCGGCTAGATGGACATGATTGCTATTTAGGGCCGCCGGTGCTGGATCTGCTGTCTTTAGGGCCGCCGGTGCCATAGCTGTCATCTCGGTGGGTGGCCAGAGTGGTCGCGGTGGAGGTGAAGGTGGTTCAGTGGCATGGGCGGGAGGTGGGGGTAGAGTCTTTGGGCAGCGATTGTGCAGGGCTGGGGTGTGGTGGGGTTGGGGTGGGATGGGGTGGGGTGTGGTGAGGCTGGGGTGTGGTGGGTTGGGGCTTGGGATGGGGTGCAGTGACCGCTTGGCCGGCCTGAGTGACTGGTTTAAGGTGGTTCAATGAAATGGGCAAACAACGGTAGTCACTGGCTGGGGGAAAGGGGGCGGCAGTCACTGGTCGGGGCCGGCGACTCCTAGCCGGGGGGCGGCAGTCACTAGCCGGGGGCGGCGACAGTCACTAGCCGGGGGCGGCGACAGTCACTAGCCGGAGGGCGGCGACAGTCACTAGCTGGGGGGGCAGCGACAGTCACTAGCCGGGGGGGCGGCGACAGTCACTAGCCGGGGGGCGGCGACGGTCACTAGCCGGGGGCGATTCATTGTGGCGGCACAGTCACTAGCAGGGCAAAGTCACTTTGGCGGTGCAACACTTTGGTGGCAGAGTCACTGTGGTGGTTGAGGCATCATTGCCGGAGTCACTTTGCACTGCAGGGTCACATTTTTGGAAATTTTAAAAAGAGATCACTTTTTTGTCTTTTATCCTATTTTAGTAATATCTAGGGCAAAAGGCCTATATTTTATTTATGAATGCATTAAAATTTTAATTTTTAAAAAATATAATTGAATTGTGCTCGCCTTAAATTTTCAAAACGTGTTTTTATTTAAAATGTTATAATTATGGAATTAAATATATTAATGGTCAAAGTTGTTCATTGGTAAACGTGAAAATGGTAGCGTTGCAACTAAAAAAGAACGGAGAAAGTATTTACTTATTTATTTATTTGTTAAATGATTTCTTTAAATATTACTCCCTCTGTCACGCTATGATTGTCCGCTATGATTGTCTCATCTTTCTTTTTTGGTTCGTCCCACTGAATTGTTTGTACTTTATTCTCACTTTATCAATTCAATATCAACCACATAAACCCAGTTTTCTTAATAATTGCACCACCTCCTTTTATAACTTGGCGGGACAATGGTAGTACTAAATAAGTATTGTTTTCGGGAAGTAGTAATAAGGTCATATATTAGGACTTTATTAGTCAAACTTATGATAACTTTCTCTAATTAAAACTAGATGTTCTCACACAAATCTCAGCTTTTGGATACCATATTTGTGTGTTTTATGGGCCACAGTGTGATAAAAAATGATAGAAGAATCTCTTCGAAATCCGGATTACTTCAACACTTGCATATTAATGTGTGTAATTGTCTAATTGATATATGGGGCATAAGTAACAAAATAATATTATGAATTTTTAGATTCAATAGTTGCTATATAAATTTAGGTTTCATAGTGTGTTTAATTTCGGGGCGAACATGACATATAAACCATTAAACCCTAGCCCCAAACCTTATATTTTATAAAATCTCGGGTTGGGTTTAACGTGATGTTACTGTTGTCAGTATTTTATTAATCTAATGCTGTTTGTGGTGGCAGGCGAGGTGGTGGGAGGAACAGAAGGCAAAAGAGGAAGCAATAGCACAAGTAGAGGAAGAACGGAGGCTTAAAGAAGCGAGCGAAGCTAATAATAAAAGAAAGTTGGAGGCACTACGCCTCAAGTTAGAAATAGACTTTGAGAGACAGAAAGACGATCTCCAACGTCTGGAGCAAGAACTTTCCCGCCTCAAGTTGTCCGCCGCGGATAAGCACATCAACAATCATGATTCTGTCAACTCTTCCCCTGGGGACATTGCTAGGTTGCTGAAGGAATTAAACCACTTTGATGCTCAACAAAAGGAGGAAGGTGGTGAAAGTGATAGGGAATGCACACTTTGCTTGAAGGACGAGGTTTCTGTTGTTTTCCTGCCTTGTGCTCACCAGGTTTTGTGTTCCACTTGCAATGAAAAGTATGGGAAGAAGGGAAGAGCTATCTGTCCGTCCTGCCGGGTCCCGATTGAACAGCGCATTCGCGTTTTCGGTGCGTCCTCTTAAGCACTAGTACTATAGTAGAAGTAAATGATGACATTATCATAGGTAGCAAAAGCAGAAGAAAAAAAAACTACTTTTCTTTGTTTGAGTTGGTGGGTGTCTTCTAAGAAGGCAGACATATATATGATGTAAAATAAACTGTTGATGTTTGTTTTACAAGTTCCAGCAGGATGCGACTCCTTCTTTCTCCCCCCCCCCCCCCCCCCCCCCCTCTCTCTCTCTCTCTCTCTCTCTCTCCATCTCTATGTGTGTTTCTTTTTGTGGTTAGGGCAGTTCCCAGATCCGGTCCCTTGACCAGGTCTGATTCCAGTCAAATTGTGATTGCCACCATTTTTAGGCTGTTCAATACTTCAATCTTAGGAGTTAGGACCTAGGACTGTCAGTTCCTTTGACCTGTGATTCTGATTCTAGACCTAGCAGCTGCTGGTTTAAGTCTGCTGCCCTGCAGTCATTTTGTCGATCCAACTGTGGTTGTCCAGGAAAGTGATGAGTTGGCAGCAGCTGGTTCGTTGGTGCTTGAGTGGGAGTGTGAGTACTCTGTCCAGTGTATTATCCGCTAGTAATAATCGGCTGAGGGAGAAAATTGCTTGATGGATCATTATGTTGCGGTGTAAGATGCTCGTTATTCACCGTGTGATTGTATACCTTTTCAACAAGGGACGGAAAATCAAGCTCTTGATCAAATATGATTTTAGATGGGAATTTTTCCTCATAAAATATTACATCTTGAGAGGTGTAGACACTATGTTTTTGCAAATCAAAAACCCTTTTGACCATACGGATAGCCATTAAATATGCAAGGAACTCCCCCTTTCATCGAATTTATCTTTTCTCTTATTATCGTGGGCGTACACTAAACACCCAAATACACGTAAATGATCATAGTTACGCACTTTTCCAAGTAGACATAGCATCTCGAAAGGACTTTTGTTAGAAATAATGGGTGAAGAAAGTATATTAATAATATAAACAGCTGTTAATATGCACTCTCCCCAAAAATCAATAGGTAACCCAGACTGGAAATGCAGTGCTCTCGCAATTTTCAATGTGTCTATATATGCTTATGCTCAACAACCCCATTTTGTTGTGGTGTGTTCGTGCATAACGTTTCCAATAATACCCCATTGCGCCCATAATAATCAAATAAATTGTTGGTCTGAAATTTCACACCATTATCAGCCTGTATCCTTTTGACTTTTTGCTCAAATTGGATTTCAACCATATTGCAAAATTGCATAATAAATTGAGAAACTTCCGATTTATTTTTCATCAAATAAACCCATACACTCCTAGTAAAATCATCAACAATAGATAAGAAGTGCCTTGCACCGGAGATCGAATCACATCTATAGTCTCTCCAAATGTCACAATGTATTAACTCAAAACATCGAGTTGTCTTAATGGAACTTGTAAGGAAAGGTAATCTAGTCTACTTAGCTCGGATGCAGGTATCACAAAAATTATTGCTTCGTAGAAATCCCCTGAGAGAACTAACGTGGTGTAATTTTCATCAGATGGTCCCAAACGTTGATGTCATAAATCTTGTGTAATGGATACTGACAGTGTCACCCCTTCGCTTCTGGGAGGCTCCAAGTAATAGAGAGTAGAGACCACCATCTCATAATTTACCCACGCCAATCAATTTACTGGAAGATACATTCTGTAAAACACTCGAAACGGTAAGATACATTATGAGCGTACTGCTTACAATTTAGATTGCATTTAAATTTTGGAATCAGTTCTAAAATTGAACCCACTCGAGCTAAAAACGGTAAGTAAAAACATCAATAGTGACATTTATGTCTTTAGGTACCGTGTGAGTTCTATTCCCGTCATTATTAGATCAACCAAGATAAGGCTCAAATTTTCTTCTCCATTCCTTTCATGGCCGCGAAACTCTCTGCATGTCTTCAAATCCATTTCATTAATGCACCATCCTCCTCAGACACGAAACACCCCGTTCTGTCCAACTCCAGAAGAAGAAGAAGGCTGAACATATCTTGCAATTCTTCCGATTCTCCTCCAAAAGTTGCAGAAAAACATCGAAGCCAGAGAAATGGCCGATCTTTATCTGAACAACTCAAGCCTCTGTCCACAACCCTACTTTCCGACCAGCCAAAGAAAACAAAGATCCAATCCAAACCCAAACCCACTTGGGTCAACCCGACTCGACCCAGACCTCCTGCTCTGTCTCTTCATCGCCAGAACCGCGCTGCTTACTCCTACAACAACAACCCTCAACTCAGGGACGTAAAGATATTTGCTAAGAAGTTGAATGAGCCTGGTCTCTCCAAGGATGATTTCTTGGCTGTTCTTGAGGAAATGCCAGAACCTCTCACTAAAGAGAACGCCCTATTGTTGCTCAACAACTTGATAAATTGGGAAAAATCCCTCCTTTTCTTGAAATGGATCAGGGCCAAAAACCAATTTCCACTGGAAACCATATTCTATAATGTTGTTATGAAGTCTTTGAGGTCTAGCTGGCAGTTTGGGCTTATGGAGGATCTTGCTCTTGAGATGGAGCAGAATGGAGTTGGTCTTGATAACATAACATACTCAACCATCATCACAGGGGCAAAAAGGTGTAAGCTTTCGGAGAAAGCCATTGAGTGGTTTGAGAGAATGTACAAGACAGGATTGGTACCTGATGAGGTGACATACTCGTCAGTTCTTGATGTGTATGCTCAGTTAGGGGAGGTTGAGGAGGTAATGAATTTGTATGAAAGGGGCCGTGCTAGCGGGTGGACCCCAGATAATGTGGCATTTGCTGTTCTTGCGAAAGTGTTTGGTTCGAATTCGGATTATGACGGGATTAGGTTCGTATTGAGTGAAATGAAGGAACTTGAAGTGAAGCCCAATTTGGTTGTTTACAACACTCTATTGGAAGCATTGGGGAAGGCCAGTAAGCCCGGTTTGGCGAGGTGCTTGTTTGAGGAGATGTTGGAAAATGGGGTTGAGCCGAACGAGAAGACCTTGACTTTCATGATTAAGATTTATGGAAAGGCAAGGTGGGGCCGGGATGCCTTGGAACTTTGGGAAAGGATGGAGTCGAATGGCTGGCCTAAGGACATCATTTTGTATAACACGTTGTTAAGCATGTGTGCGGATCTTGGGTTGGTGGGAGAGGCCGAGAGGTTGTTTAGTGATATGAGAGGGTTGCCGGGCGGGCGTGACAGCTGGTCCTATACTGCCATGCTCAATATATATGCGAGCGGGGGAGCTGTCAGTAAGGCTTTGGCTTTGTTTGAGGAGATGTCTGAGGTTAGGGTTGACCTTAACGTCATGGGGTGCACTTGTTTGGTTCAGTGCCTGGGGAAGGCAAAGAAATTCGATGATCTGGTTAGGGTTTTTTATTGGGCTATGGATAGAGGGATCAGACCGGACGATAAGCTCAGCGGGTCATTGCTCTCTGTCTTGTCATATTGTGATGTTGGGGGTGCAGATGAGGAGAAGGTTTTTGGTTGTTTGTTGAAAGCCAACCCTGGCATGGTTGCCTTCCTGAAGCTGCTGCTTCTTGGGCAAGACAGCAGCACAAGTCATATTGATAATGACTCTCTGAGAAAGGAGTTCAGAGAGATTCTTGGGAACACTTCTCCTGGATCCCGAAGACCCTTCTGCAACTGCCTGATCGATATATGTAGGAAAAGGAACCTCGGAAACCGGGCCCATGAGCTGCTGTATGCTGGGACCATGTATGGGCTCTATCCCGGTCTGCATAGCAAGACGCCAAAGGAATGGTGTTTGAATGTCCAGTCGATGTCCGTGGGTGCTGCCCAAACTGCATTTGAGGAGTGGATGGTGAGTATTGTTAAAATGGTGGAGCGGGAAGAGCCGTTGTCGGAGTTTCTCACGGCTCGCACGGGGGCGGGGACCCACAAGTTCTCCCAAGGATTGGCTCATGCGTTTGCTTTGCAGGTGGACAGGTTTCAAGCTCCGTTCGAGGAAAATGCTGCGGGGGTGTTCGTGGCCAATAGGGATGATTTAGTGTCGTGGGTTCAATCAAATGCTGCTGCTGCTTCTTTACTTGCTTAAACTGCATGCATGCATCATTGACCTAACTGTGAATCGATCATTTCGTTCTGAATTTTTGTTTCGCAGAATTGCAGCTATTCCTGCTTCTAAGAAAATTGGCTCAGTATTTTTCTTCTCTTTTTTAAAGGAGTATAATTTCTCAGGATTAGAAGTGGAAATGATGAATTGCTCTCGTTATAGCTCTCTCCTAAGAGTCGTCTGTAGACAAAAGTTGGTGTGGAAAAGCTAGTCTAGTTCTACGAGTCCATTCCAATTTTTTTTATAAAAAGATTGACAACAGTTGATTGCTAAAACACCCTCTCCATTGTTCCAAAAAAGGTGGAATCACCCACCTCAAGCGCCCCCGCACTCTGATTCGGCATGCACGAGTTGTAACCTCCATACGACCATTATGGGTTTCAAACCTTGGTTATTGTTCCAAATTTCCCACCACTCAATTAACTGAGTTACGCGTGCAGGTTGCTAAAACTCCCTCCATCGCATCCCTCAATCAATTGACCTGTACATCAAATAAGAAATTAAAAATCTGGAACAATAATTTTAGACCTGTTGGATAAACATGTCGGAAATAACAAGAAATGGAAAATTGACAAAGCTCTATGGGAGGAAGGAAGTAGGCCTATAATGGTCGGGTCGAGTTTAACTTCAGACTCGTCTTTTTGTAACGAGTATGAGTTACATTTTATTCCGTTTACCCAGATTCTGATTTGGATTTGTTATTTTGTACTATAAACGGGTCGAGCATGGTACATGTTATTTCGACTCGTTAAAGACTTGTATCCGTTGAAAATTCATATATATTCATATACATACAAATGCACATTTAGTGACTGTCATATTTATACATAAATGATACTTCTTTTGTAATTTGAAAAACAATGTTTGTTTTTCGTTTTAGTTTTGGTTATTTTTAACGAGAAATGTAACTAGATTACTTGATTTTGATTTAGCAAACTATGTAATTTGTCTCAAATTTTAAATTTTATTTCTCTCTTATTTATCTTATTTATAATTTATAAAATTCACAATACTGTTAACTTCATATCGGGGTCTACTCAATTCAATTACGAAACCCACCGAGTTAAATCTGAAACAGTAATTTTAGACCTGCCAGATATACATGTCTGATTTGGAACTAAAAATAAATTAGTAAGTCCGGGTTTGGATCACTATCCCGATTAAAAATTCACATTGCAAAATGACACGATTATTTAAACAATAATTAAATAAGGTAATTTGAATATGTTTTATTAAATTATTTTGAGGGTATATAATATAATGAAGTCGTTAATGATAATTGTGATGTTATATACATATACTATTTTTAATATTTAATGACTAAATTATCATTTAGGAGTGTTAATTGATTCTTAAAATAAAAATGAGAATCTTTATATGGAAAGTCCACAAAAAAAGAAAATGAGAAGTGTAGAATGAGATGAATGAAGTAATATATTTACAATCACTTAAAGCATAAGAAAATAAGAAAGATAAAAACTTGGGAATTTAATAGAACTGAATGAAATGCTAGTTTCTTTCTCATCTCCCATCCGATTGTAACAAGAATATTTACACATGGAGGTTTGAATAGTATTCTCCTGTAAAGTTGGATGGAAACTCACCTCCAAAATAGAGTATACTGTAAGTAAGCCACATACCCAATCTGATTACAAACACTTGTCTAAGCTCTAAAGTAAGATGAAAAGAACAAAATACAAAATGAATAAATAACAATAAAAATTCTATGCCTATTGAGAAATCTAAGAATAGAGGAACGTAGAGTCAGGTGTCTTCTACAAAATTTATACAATCAGCAGGATTCCTTTCCTTAAAAGATCCCTTGCTCGAAGTGTAGGAATCTTAGTCATCGATGTTGAAACATGAACCTAGATATATTAGATCATTAGAATTTGTCCAGAATGCAGAGGGCATGATACTTCAATTTTCCAAGCTGCAGAGATTTTTTGTGGTTGAATGAATGAATGAATCAAAGGTATTTTCCTGATGATTTCCATATTCTTCCTTCAAGTGAGATTACCATAACAGTGACATCATCATGGTACTTCCTTCTGTCTCCTGTTGGGATGTCAAGCAACTCATGTAATTCCAGTCCTGCAACACACATATAACAAACCTTTTCTACTGTTTAAGAAGTCCCTAAAAAATTTTAGTTGTACATTTGGCACAACATTATAAGTTTTTTTCAAAAAATGTAAGATTTTTTTTGGAAGCCACGTTGTGTAGCTTAGGAGAGAAAGCCTATAAATCTAGCATTAATTATTCAAAACAGGTTCTTATGTCAAATAAAACTAAATAAAATAGTCAGCTTTTTTAAATCAAACAACTACAGTATTTTTTAAATCTGTTCAATCACTAAAAGTTACTCCCTCCGTCCCGCTAACAATGGGACAAGAGGGAGTGACACGCAAATTAATAAAAAAATGGTTTATGTGGTTGATATTGAATTGATAAAGTAAGAATAAAGTAAGAATGATTTAGAGCTACACAAACTTTAACAAATTTGGTATGGGACAATCTTAGTGGGACAGACCGATAAGGTAAAATGGGACAATCATGGCAGGACGGAGGTAGTAACAATTACCAAAAACTTACAAAAGTATCTTTTCAGCTAGTTGCGTCAAACATACCTTAATTAGTTAAATAAGATCCTAGTAATCAGATTCCACTCGATACTGGAAATGGACTCCCGTGAAAAGCATCCCAAACCCTTCCTTACACTTCAATTTGCGACAAAATGGTTGGGGAGATCAAGAAAAAAAGATGACACTCCATCCCGTAGCGCCCCCAGAACCGACCGGGCAGTAACCTAGGAGGATGTAAATTGAGCTTTGATTCACTCTGATTGAAAGAGAGTGGGTTCTATCCCAAGTCATTAACATTGCTTGGAGTTGAACCCGAGATCTCTCCATGTGGCCCCCCGGTTGGTTGGGGAGATCAAGAACGAATACATGTTGATACGTTAAGACATTATTATTATGCTCACTTCAGTGGTGGAGTAGGAAAATAGACTATTACTTTAGAACATATATAAAATATCAAACTTGATATAATTCTTTTTTACTAAAAGTATACTTGTAGTAATTTATAAGGAAACTTACATAAATAGAATTAGATCACAATATGTATATATATACAGAAAACATCACCTCAACTAGTTCTAATGGGAACTGCCTCCAAACTTGTCTATTTGAGGTGCTTCCGAGTGGAATTTTTTGATGAAATTTTGTGATCGTGTTCTTTATTAAATGTAGATTCTGTCCACAAAATTTCAATTTGAAATTCAATCGGATGAGAGGTTTAATAAATTATTAAAAAACACTCCATTTTTTATTTACATTTTGGCGCAGTGTTTTTCAATAATTTATTTAGCTGACTTTCTAATTGAGTTTTAAACTGAAATTTTGTGGATATAATCTACACTCATGAAGAACATGCTCACAAAATTTTATCAAAAACATCACTCAAAAGTACCTCAAATAGACAAGGTCGGACGGCGGTTCTCGTCAGAATTACTTGGCAATATCATTACTCTCTCTCTATACTCTATATATATAGAGAGAGAGAGAGAGAGTGGATCAGGATCAAACTGTGCTTATTATGTAAATATTTGTACGATACATCTTAACGCTATTTGTATTGCATATTAATGTTCAAGGTGTTGCATAGTATTCTTCAATGAAATAAGCATTTGTATATTAACGTTCAAAGTGTTCAAAGTGATGCATCCGTACTTTTTTTAGTTTTTTTACCACAATGCCATCGTGCGTCTATGGCATTTAGATCAATTCATCAGATGGTTAAAATGAGTTTGTTATTTATAAATTAAGAGGTGTTTGTATTTGATCTTATATATATATATATATATATATATATATATATATATATATATATAGGGGGTCTGGGGGAGGGGGCTGGGGGGCCTGGAGTAATCAGGGCTGAAACTCATTCCATTGAGCTTCGAACTCGGGCCTAGCTGGAATATATATATAGGGAGCGGGTCCGGTAAGAACGGATCTTAGGAGAGAAATGAGAACGAATCTGGATCGTTGGATTGAATTATGTGGAACTGAATTGTGCATTTGGTGAAACCGAAATGTGCATTAGATGATATTGAAATGTGCATAATTAAAATTTAAACTCACATGTGCAATAGGTGAAACTGAAATATGCAGAGAATAAAAGGTAAAAAAATAACATCACATCGTACCTTTTATTCTGCGCATTTTAGTTTCATCTAGTGCACATTTCAAATTCACCTAATGCACAATTTAGCTTCACATAATGTCACTACATTGTACCATTTGTGCTGCACATTTCAATTTCACCTAATACACATCATAGATTCATCCAATGCACATTGAATTTCACATAAAGCAAATCTAACGGTCCAGATTCATTCTCATTTTTCTCATAAAATCGTGTTCTTATTTGAACCAAAACCTATATATATATATAGAGAGAGAGGAATGTTCAGGTCCGAACATTCCCCGTCCGAACACCATATGAACAACGCCATTCGGGGCGGTTCCCGATGGAATTTTTTGATGAAATTTCTATGGTATGTTCTTCATCAAGTCTAGTTTCTTCATACCAAATTTCAGTTCAAAGTTCGATCGGGAAGGCCTTCAAATGATTTTTTGAAGTTGACTTCGCCAAATTATACATAGAAAAACGCAGTCTACTTCAAAAAATCATTTGATGGCCTTCCATGAAAACCTGGTATGTGTGTGTGTGTATGTATGTAGATTTAGGGCCAAATACAAATAGTCCTTTCCATTAAAAGTAGGAATAAATCTGGATTCTGGAGCTTTGGATTTAGGATCTAATGGATCTAAATAGGAAAAAGGGTCGAATACACCCTTCTACTATTTCCAATCCATCAGGTAAGCTCTTCTACTTAAAAAAGCATCAAATGAGTGCGTTTACTCAAAAATACAATCAATCAAACCATTTTGACCTGTTATGCCATGGTATTTTTTAAAAACTAAATTAGGAATATTGATAAATCCTACAAAAATTCATATAAATTTGAATAAATAATGTAATAATAATATAAAAAGGGTATAATTGTAAAAATAGAAAATAAAATAAAATCATTAATCGTTAAAATAAAAATCAGAAAACTGAATTTATAAAGTGAAAACAAAAAATAAAAATTAAAATATTAAAAATCTTTGAAATAGATAGAGAATACACAAATAATTTTAAAAATTCAAAAATATTGACTTTGATATTCTGAAAATTTTCACATTTTTGTATATATTTCTTCAAATTTTAACAATTTTTTTGAGTTTTTAAATATTAAAAACCTGGTATTACAGGTCAAAAACTGATTAACTGGTCAAATGATCGATTTTTAAAGTAGCCACTCTTTTTAGTAGAGTGGCTTAAGTGACGGATTGGAAATAGTACAAGGGCATATTTGACCCTTTTCCCATCTAAATATGTCGAAAATGCATTAAACTGGATGAAAAACGTGATGGTATTTTCGTAAATAAATCAATGTTTTCCTTATTTGCAAAAGTGGACATCATGTGTGGAATAATGTACCGTAAATGATCAAAAAGTGGATGAAGAAAAAATTATCAATGCAATAGTTCAACTCAGATTCTCAAAAGTGGAGGCGTTCGCATTTTGTATTTTAATACTACTTTTTATTGGAACCGGACTCTATATATGTATGTGTGTGTGTACATACATGTATGTATGTATGTATGTATGTATAGGAAAAAGATCTTGTCCATCCGGATGGACAAGAGGCGCCGTCTGGCCGAAGCCGTTTGGGGTGGTTCCCGGTGGATTATTTTGATGAATTCTTTTTAGCATATTCCTCATCAAGTCTAGTTTATCCACAAAAAATTTCAGCCAAAAATTCTCTCGGGAAGGCAGTCAAATAAATAAATGAAAATAAATGCGTTTTATATTTATAATTTGGCGCAGTTATCTTCAACAAATTATTTGACTGCTTTCCCGATCGAATCTTTAGCTAATTTTTTTTTGGATAAACTGGACTTGACGAGGAACCGCCCCAAACGGCGACGGCCGGATGGAGAATCCTGTCCCTTCGGCTGGACAAGATCACTCCTTTGTGTGTGTGTGTGAGTGTGTGTGTATATGCACACAGGATTCTCACCGTTTCTTCCTGAGAATATGCAGGACTCATTCACTAAAAGGGCAGTCGGGTGCATATTGGCATACACACATGCAAGGTGAGGGTCCACTGCATGACGCATTAACTCAGGCAAAAAACTTTACTACTTTAATTCCTTTTTTAAGACTGAATCAGTCCTATTTTAAGCACAAAACAAAAAACAATTGTGTCTGTGCAAGTGGAGCGACTCCACCAATTAAGCCACAGCTGCAATCTTGGCTGGCCATGATAAAACTGATATGGGTCGATTTGGCAGAGTTTACCAGAGGCGGTCAAAGAAGGGACCAGCTTGAGTGGTCCTCATTATTTTAATTAATTAAATCAGTTTCCTACTTTGAGTCTATTTTAATTAATTAAATCAGTTTCCTACTTTGAGTTTATTTATTCAGGTTTCCTTATACTAGTTTAGGAACTTCTGTATTACTTCTTTCCTATTATTGTTTTAGGAAACTTGTCTTTAGCCTATTTAAGGCCTATCAGTTGGATTAATGAGATTAGCTTTGGAATATTAATTTTATTTGGCGTACGGTGGAACCTGCGACAAACTCCTTGCCGAGGGCGGGAGTCGATTAATATTTCAGGCACCATAGATTCATATTTTTCTTGTTCTTCTCAGAATCATCGACCTTGGACTAGATCTTGTACCAAGGCCCTTAACAATTTGGTATCAGTATCCAGGACGATGGGGAACGATCACATCTCCGCAGAGACACTCCAAACCTTCATGGCAGATATTAACCAGCGACAAGGATCACTTGAGGCAAAAATTACAGATCTCATTACATCTTTTTCCACGCAGCTTGCCGCCCTGACTAGTAAATCTGCAGGCCCACATACTTACTCCAACAGTAACAGCCCCTCCGGATCCCATGGTGATCATAGGGAGTTTCACGAACACCACACTCGAGTCAGTAGCGAGAATAACATTGTGCCCCGCTATTCCAAACTCGATTTTCCTACCTATGATGGTACAAGTGACCCACTGAGTTGGCTGAAGCGTTGTGAACGATTTTTTTCACATCAACAGACAGCCCCCATCGCACGTGTCGGGTTAGCTACTTTTCACATGACAGGCGATGCTCAACTCTGGGCAGATAAACTGCGTGCAGGTATATCGTGGAACACCTTTTCTGAAAACTGTCTCCTTCGTTTTGGACCACCTTTAAGCACCAACCCTTCGGGAGATCTTTTTCAACTCAAACAAACGGGGACAGTGGAGGAATATATTAGTTTGTTTCAGAAACTGTTGGCGCGTGTAGATGGATTACCCAGTCAATTCGAAGTCAACGCATTCATGGCAGGGCTTCGTCAGGAAATCCGTTTAGAACTGGAGTTTCAGGCTCCAGGAAGCTTGGACGTTGCCATGAATCTGGCCAGGCAGATTGAGCGCAAACAACAATCTGTGGCACTACTCCCAGTCACACGACCTCAACCAAGACAATCCCCTATGCCTATTGCATCACAAACCAATCTGCTTGCTTCAAATCCAAAGCAGACCATTGAGGACTCACAGCAGCCTCCCACTTGGCGGCGGCGGATTTCCAGAGCGGAGGCAGCCAGTCGCCAAGCCAAAGGTCTTTGCTATCATTGTGATGAACGTTATGTTCGCGGTCATCATTGCAAGCAGCTTTTTGCCTTGGAAATCTGGGATGACGAAGGCGATGAAACAATAGATTCTGACTTTGCCTTGTCCCTCAATGCCATGTCAGGTTCCTGCTCACCCACAACAATGCAAATTACAGCTTCCTTGCGAGGTAAACCAGTTCTGATTCTAGTCGACTTGGGAGCACGCATAATTTTGTGCATGCACGATTGGCTCAAGGACTCGAGTATAGTTCACCCACAGACAATTCTTTATTTGTGGTGGTGGCAAATGGCGAAAAGGTCCCTATTTTGGGTAGCTGTCCTCAGTTAACTTTTGAGGTTTTGGGAGTTCCCTTCCATGCTGATTTTTATGTTCTTCCCATGGCTGGTTTTGATATGATTTTGGGGGTCCAGTGGTTACGAGGCTTAGGCGCGATCGTCATATGGCAGGTCAAACCAACGCCATACTGCAAACCAGCAAACATGGTTTGCAGTATGGCGTTGGTTTGCCCTGCCATATGACGGTTGCCACTTCACGTGAGCATTCACCCCTAGAAGGTATTCTCTGCAACTTCCAGGATTTATTCCAGGAACCGCGCGGTCTGCCACCTCCACGGCCATGCGATCATCGCATAACTTTAGTTCCTGGTTGTGGCCCGGTTGTGGTACGCCCCTACCGTTATCCATACTTCCAAAAGGATGAGATTGAGCGACAATGTGCTGCAATGTTAGAACAAGGGATCATTCGCCATACTCTTCTCCAGTGCTCTTGGTTAAGAAGCATGATGACTCGTGGCGTTTCTGTGTCGACTACAGAGAGTTGAACAGTAAAACAGTGAAGGATAAATACCCAATTCCGGTGATCGATGAATTGTTGGATGAGCTCCATGGGGCAAAAGTTTTTTCGAAGTTGGATCTCCGGTCTGGCTACCACCAGATTCGAATGGCCCAGGAGGACATTCCCAAAACAGCTTTCCGCACACACCATGGTCATTTTGAATTCTTGGTCATGCCTTTTGGCCTCACTAATGCCCCATTCACCTTCCAAAGCCTAATGAATGACATCTTTGGCCCTTATCTCCGGAAGTTTGTTCTGGTCTTCTTCGACGATATCTTAATCTATAGTAAGAGCTGGGTGGAGCATATCCATCATGTCCGCTTAGTTTTTGATATCCTCCGAGCACATGGGTTATTTCTTAAACGCTCCAAATGCTATTTTGGAACTGATAGTGTGCAGTATTTGGGTCACATCATTCACGAAAAAGGCGTCAAGGTTGACCAGGAGAAAGTTAAAGCCATCCAAGAGTGGCCTCTGCCAGGGACACTAACGGCCTTGCGTGGGTTTCTAGGCTTGGCTGGCTACTACCGTAAATTTATCAAAAATTATGGGGAGGTTGCCTTGCCACTCACGCAACTCTTAAAGAAACATTCATTCCATTGGAATGAGGAGGCCACTGTTGCCTTTAACCAACTTAAACATTGCTTGGCCACAGCTCCTGTACTTCAACTGCCCAACTTTTCACCTCCATTTGTCATTGAATGTGATGCCTCAGGGAGTGGCTTTGGGGCAGTTTTGCAACAAGAGGGTCATCCTGTCGCGTATTTCAGCCGCAAAATAGCAGATCGTCATATCAAATTAGCCGCATACGAGCGGGAATTGATCGGGTTGGCCAAGGCAGTAACCCATTGGCGACCGTACCTCTGGGAGCAAGAATTTTTAATTCGTACCGATCATTCTAGCTTGAAACACTTACTGGAGCAACGCTTAACGACTTCTCCCCAACAACATTGGCTCAGTAAGTTGATGGGGTATAATTTCCGGGTAGAATACAAACCTGGTCGGTACAACACGGTTGCCAATGCCTTATCTCGTCGTGATGAATCTCAGCCTCACCTAGCAGCGTTGTCCATTCCTTATACAACTTTGCTTGAGGATATCCGTAAGGAACAAGCTGCCTCGTCTGAAATTGGAGCTCTTCGACGCCAGCTTGATGAAGGTGCCTTGGGAACCGAGTGGGCATATCGAGAGGGGTTGCTTTTTTTCCAACATAAAGTGTACTTACTGCCATCTTTTGCCGCAATTCCAACTATAGTCAATTTGTTCCACTCCATGGCCCATGAAGGCAGTGCTAAAACGTTACAGAGGGTGCGTCGCGAATTTTATTGGCCTGGCATGAAAAAGACCATCACTGACCATGTGCGGGATTGCCAAGTGTGTCAACAACACAAATGGTTGAACCTCCAGCCTGCAGGTTTGTTGCAGCCCCTGCCCATTCCTCATCACATTTGGGCAGATATCTCCATGGACTTCATCGAGGGATTGCCCAAGGTTCGGGGAAAATCAGTTGTTTTTGTGGTTGTTGATCGGTTATCTAAGGCTGCTCATTTCATTGCACTAGCACATCCATTTACGGTTGTTTCAGTGGCAGCAGTCTTCTTCTCTAAAATTTTTCGCCTCCATGGCCTGCCAGAATCAATTGTCTCTGACCGCGATAAAGTGTTTGTGAGCTCCTTTTGGCGTGAGATATTCCGTCTTTGTGGATCCCAACTTCGATTTTCTTCAGCCTACCACCCTCAAACAGACGGTCAAACTGAGGTGGTGAATCGCACCTTGGAAATGTTCCTCCGTTGTACTACCGGCGACTGTCCACGAGATTGGGTTCATTGGCTTCCATGGGCAGAGTATTGCTACAACACATCTTTCCATACATCTTTAGGTGATACTCCTTTCAGGTTAGTGTATGGTCGTGACCCGCCCAAGCTACTTTCTTACACACCTGGCACTGCCAAGCTCGACGCAGTGGACCAAGCGCTCATTGACCGCGACTCCATCCTCACCATAGCCAAGACCAGATTGCTCCAAGCTCAACAACGTATGAAACTCCAATACGATAAGGGCCATCGGGATTTGTCATTCGACCCAGGTGATTGGGTTTGGCTCAGAATTCATCCACATCGCCAATTGTCACTCATCAGGCATACTCACACGCTTTCACCCAAGTTTTTGGGCCCTTTCAGATAAAGGAAGCTATTGGGCAAGCTGCCTATCGCCTGATACTTCCTCCATCAAGCAAAATTCATGATGTCTTTCATGTCTCTTTACTCAAGCCACACAGAGGAGACACACCTTTGACGATGGGAACCTTACCAGAACTGAACAGCCTGCCACCCCCACTCCAACCTCTGTCCATTTTGAAGGCTCGTCCATATCAGGGTAGCTGAGAACTACTTGTCCACTGGGCAGGACAGCTTTTGGAAGAGGCTACATGGGAAACATTGGATTCCTTCTGTGATAATTTTCCCGATTTCGATCTTGAGGACAAGCTCGTTGTCAACGGAGGGAGTGATGATATGGGTCGATTTGGCAGAGTTTACCAGAGGCGGTCAAAGAAGGGACCAGCTTGAGTGGTCCTCATTATTTTAATTAATTAAATCAGTTTCCTACTTTGAGTCTATTTTAATTAATTAAATCAGTTTCCTACTTTGAGTTTATTTATTCAGGTTTCCTTATACTAGTTTAGGAACTTCTGTATTACTTCTTTCCTATTATTGTTTTAGGAAACTTGTCTTTAGCCTATTTAAGGCTTATCAGTTGGATTAATGAGATTAGCTTTGGAATATTAATTTTATTTGGCGTACGGTGGAACCTGCGACAAACTCCTTGCCGAGGGCGGGAGTCGATTAATATTTCAGGCACCATAGATTCATATTTTTCTTGTTCTTCTCAGAATCATCGACCTTGGACTAGATCTTGTACCAAGGCCCTTAACAAAAACTTCCCAATGGGAAAAGTGCATGAATAATATTTTCATCTTTAGTTCCTTAAGGAAAAAAGTTAAAGAGAAGGATGCACATAATTACCAGCTTTCTTAGCTGCTCGGAATAAAAGCTCCTCAATGAGGTGTTGTGCAGGATCTCCATCAGGATATCTCTCCAGAAAAGTTACAACATGGGAAACAACTTCCTCATTGGTCAAGTATTGGTATAAGCCATCCGAGGAAAGAACCAATAATTGATCTCCAGGACAGATTCTATGGTGACGTAAAGAAGGAGTACAAGATATATAAGGTTCATTCCCGATATACTCATTTCGAAACATTTCCAATAATGCGTCATTCAACTTACGCTGCATCAAGGATTTCAATATCATTATATAAGCAAAAAATCATACTGTATTTCTCGACAATCAGCACATTCTAACTTATGATCCCCTGACTATTTCTATTTCTGGTGAAAAAATTTGACTTCTCATTTCAGGTACCTTATCAGGTAAAAAAAGATTGAAAAAAGTACAAAATTGGCTAGATAAGTGGTTGGAATGAAGTGGAGCAATGAAAGTCCGGAACCAAATCAGAATGGGCTACTAGTCGTGAGACCAAGAGTTGAGTTTTTCTCCAAAGAATTAGAATACAAGTTCTCGAAGATGCAAACAAAGATAAGTTTACTAGTAAAAAGTTCAGTCACTTTTTCCTTTTTTACTCTGAAGAGACCCCTCATCTTCTTTTTCTTTCTTGTGTTTTTGTTTTTTTATCCTTTTATATTTATGTGTGTGTGTGTTCTTTTTATCCTTTTTATTCTATCATTTTTATGTGTATCCGATCTCGTTTTATATTATCTTTAATATTGTAGCTTATCTTTTTGTCTTTCTTATCTTTCTTTTCCTTTTGGTTCCAATATCATGTAACGATTCATGTTAGCGAACCCCAAAATCTTTTGGAATTAAGGCTTGGATGTTGTTGTTGTACTCTGAAGAGATAAAAACCTGTTTCAGGGAGCCCGCTCCAAACGCGCGGGTGACCTTTAGGCGGCCTTTAACTCTATCATTTACAATACAGTTGTTGTCATCAGGATGTTCATTCTTGATTCTGATAACCTCCTGGAGAAGGTTTAACGAAAAGAATTTTAGAATATTAAAACAAATAACAGTAGAATGTAATACATATACGACAGATGAACATATAACAGGAAAAATAAGAAAAACCAATAGTATCTCCAGGCTATATACACTGTTTTAATTCATCACAATGAACAAGTGGCAACTGGACTGCACAAAGTATCCTCAGCAATTATTGAAAAATTAACATGGAATGGGTCTATTTGCATTCGCAAATGCATTCTCTTAGTAAAGAAAATAGATTATCATATGAAATGAATAACGGCTTATGTCATTCTTCTTATGAGCATTTCACCATTCAAACCCTCAACACGATTAGTTAAGCATAAGAGTAGTGAGTAGTGAACTTTCTCATAGGGTCCTGAACTTGTACTTTAGATTATAGAACTAATACATAGCCATTCTCTATATTTGAGGGCCGTTCTAATTGGGAGTTATAAGCCATGATAACATAAAAATGATATGGCTTCCACTATGTGCTACACAGTTTCAAATGTTAGCAAATGATAATCATAAGGAAGTTTCAAACATCATCAAATGATAATCATAAGGAAATTCCATAGTTCCATCAATGTTTAGTGCTACTCTGATGATCTGATCCCAGTTGAGCTAATGCCTGCTTGTTCCACAGGCATACCGTAAGAAGCTATATAAGTACGGAGTATATTTTATATTCCCTCCGTCCCACAAAACTTTGTCAACTTTCCTTTTTTAGCCGTCCCAACAAACTTTGCCAATTCACTTTAAAGTGATAAATATGTGGGTATAATTATCTCTCACTTCTGCCCAAATCTCAACTATACAATTTTTACTTTATTATTCTAGGCGCAAGTCCACTTTTTATAAATAACTAAGGACATGTTTACTTCACATTTTAATTTCACCGTAAGCTTATTAAAACATGTGAAGTAAACAATATTTTGGATAAATGTCTGTTTTGTAAACACTTTTTATATCTTAAAGTGTTGCTTAGTAAACACCTCACCCCATGTTTTACTACACAAGATGTTAAGCTTTTTCATATTGACAAGTATACCTCTCTTGCATCCCAAAATGAAAGTCACCGGAGCACCCCTACCCCCACCCCAACCCCTACCCCCGACCCTAACCCCTACCTACCACCACCCGCATTCCTCCCTTCACCCACATCCCCATATATCTGTCCTACCCAACCTCACCCTTTACCCCTACCCTACTACCCCATCCCCTACCCTAATCCATCATACCCCCACCCTCTGGCATCACACCCACTCCTTTCCACATCTACCCTAATCCATCCTATCCCCACCCTCTGGCATCACACCCACTCCTTTCCACATCTACCCCCTACCTCTATCCCCACCCCTACGCCCAACCCCATCCATACACCCCCTGCCCTGCCCCCACCTACCACCCCTAATCCACACCCACATCCTACTCCTACATCCCACTCCAATCCCCACCCAGTGGAGGTTGGGGCAAACGGGCAAAGGTGGTGGGGTAGGATTTGGAGATAGGGAGGGGTGAGTGGTGGGTGGGGGTGCAGGGGGTGGGTGAGGGGTTAGGGGTGCTGTGTTGGGGTGAGGATGGTTGGGGTAGGGGTGGGAGTGGTAGTAAGGTGGGGTAAAGTCTTTGAAGGTTGTAATTCACATGTAAAGTTAAACCATGTTTAAATAAATGCATTGGTGTCGTGAAGTAAACATACATTTATTAAGCCCCTCTTACTAAGGTGCAGGTTAATAAAACGTGTTTTAATAAACAACGTTTACTAGCCAGTGAAGTAAACATGTCCTCAGTGAAGAAGTTTTCACAAAAATACTAAACATTCAGAGTTATAGTTAGGCTGTACACACCCTGTCTTACTAAAAGGCTAAGAACTAAATTGGTAGGTTTCTTTTACAGCTTTCCTAGTCTTGGAGTCAGTTTTTTCACCAAACACTAAATTAGTACTCTGTCTTTGCTGGATCAGCTGAAAAAAATGAGGGTCATAGGTACTTATTGGTTGAAACGGATACTTCTACCACTTTTTAAGATTTTTTATCTATTTACTGAATAAAATACATTATTTGAATAACCAATTTCAGATTGTCAGTCATATCAGCAACAACTTCAATGTCTCATTCGGCAACTTCATACAGTTTGAGCCTTAGCAAACGATCCCTAAGACACTAAGTTGTCATTATCCAGTTAGGTAACAAAAAGTAAGTATTTACAATCAAGCTCCTTAATTGATTCCGACTCCAAAGGAGAAAATAAGTAAACCTACAAATGATGCAATTAAATAGAAAATACTCTTTTATCCTTAATTTGCTTTTACCCCAGCATAATAAAACTAACGAGTACATTTTAAATTGGGTTATCTCACCCTAGTAAAATGAAGGATTGTCTATCTCTAATGTTCATAGATTTTACTCGTAAGAGTACTAATAATGATGAAAGAGCAGGGGTCGTTTCATAAAGCAAAGCATTTATTATTTGACTTTTAAGGTACATAAATGAATAAGAGGAACTTACTTCTTCAATGCCGGTGCTATGGTCAGTGGACAACTGCAATGTGGTCAACCTCATCATGTCTTCAATGCTCCCCCCTTTGGACACATCTTCTTCTTCAGCCACGGCTTCCCCTGCCAACCAAGCATCTTCATTACCCCGTGGGACCCATGAGTTTGAGCTAGAAGAAGCCACGGCCTGTTGATGAGGAGGAGGCGGCGGCTCATACTTTGCCACAATGGCCCGACTATCTCCCACATTCATCACATACACATCTTCATCCCTCATCAAAACCACCAACAGACAAGAGCCCATCAACGCAAGCTCCGGATACTGGTCGAGAAGCTTATCGGTCATATCCAAGTACGCGTTCTCTGTCATCTCAAGAGCCTCCGACATTGCTCCCAACACTAACTCGTGGTCTACGGGTCCCACTTTCCGTCTCCTCCCATTTCCAACACCTCTTCCCACCTCAGCAGCCTTTCCACTGTTCTCCTTCCCTTTTACCCCGACAGATCTCCATGGAAATAATTTCTTGCCATCCATGTGCTTGATAGACAATCCGTGTTTCAGTTTTGATCTTTTCACTGACGAGCCTGCAGCATTGCTTAGACTAATGGCGTCCTCAACTGAAAATGCGAATCTATCTGATCCTGAGAGATCAAGTCCTTCTTCAGGATGATCCTCTGCTAAATATTCCCATAGTCTTCTCCTTCTAACCACAATCTCCTTGGAATGGAACGTCACCCTTTTGGTGGATCCTTTATCACCAACTGTACTAGTTTCTGGCAATGGATTCTCTGCAGTCTCTAGGTTGTCCCAAAACAAACCCTCTAAATTTTTGAACATTGCTTTGTACAGGTTGCTCATTAGGAACTCAGGGGCATCCGGACCATTGAACCCATCATAGATTCCCACAAATAGCCACCCATGCTCTTCAGATACAACCACATGTACTCTATCTTCACCCGCTTTCCCTAAAGCCCACTGAACATTGCTATGGCAGAGCATCTCCTGCTCATGAGCGCGGTTTGGGGGAGGTTGGGAATGCTTCACGGGCAGGAGCCAAGTCCGCTTCTTATCAGGGAAGTTTCGGTACAAGGCCTTTGGAATCCGGGAAATCGCGCTCCTCCTCCTTCTCCCCTTCTTGTGGTTCACATAAGGAGCGCTGAGGGGGGCGGAGAAGGGAACAGTGTTGGATAGGGAATCCAGCGGTCCGGATAGAGCTCCTCGCTCGATGGGGCCGGACATGAAGAATGCTCTGTCGATGGGGCCAGGCGGCGGTTCCCGTCCACTCCCGGCTCGGGGAATAGGCTGAAGGGGCAAGGCGCAAAAGGACGAGGTGCTCTGAAAGCCATCGACGAGAGTGCCCCTGGATCCCGTACCAGCGGAAGTACTCCCGTCAGCAGCGGCATCGTGAGAGAAAGTGTGGAGGGTAGTGGGAGTGGAGGTGTTGGCACTGACGGAGGCGCCGGAAATTGCCCGGAAGGCGGTGTCGGGATGCCTGTGCAGAGCAGCAGGAGGAGGAGGAGGAGGGTGGTCGAAGCGGAGGGAGTGAGAAGGAGAAAGAAAGCGATCGGAGTGGGGAGGAGACAGAGAGCGAGCAGAGGACCTGACGTAGCAGAAGGAGTGGCCGAGAGTTTCGTCGAGGGGGGTGAACTCAACCTCCCGCCGGTTCAGCGCCGGGTTAACACAGGGAAGTAGAGACGAAAACCCTCCTCCCATCACATTCGATTCATCCCCCCACCCACACCACAACACAAAAGGAAGGAAGGAAGGAAGGAAGAAGGCAGTGATGAAAAGGAGTTTGTATATTAATACCAATCTTCTTTTCTTCTGACAAAAAACAGAGTGAGTTTGAAAACTTGAAGAGGGAGGGGAGGGGAGGGGAGGGGAGGGGAGGGACTTCAAATTTTAAGTCACGTGGCAGGGTCAAAATGTCCACCTTGGAATGCACGTGACTTTTATTTTACTTTTAGTTTTCCTTAGTTTCCTTTGTTTTCAATACTTTCTTTCAAGAGACATTTCCCACCTTTGAATCCCATTCTAACAAAAATAGATACTATACTAATAGGTTTTTTTGGTAGACAAGTGAGGATGGAAAAGGGGTTTGAGGATGAAGCGAGGTCAAATGCTTGGCAACACAAATGAACGACAATTGTAATAATATTATAAGATATTATACATTTTTACCATATATATATATATTATAAATGTTACTACGTAATATATACTTCCTCCGTTCTTAAATACATGTCACACTCTCCTTTTTCGGCAGTTTCAAAATAATTGCAACATTTCCTTTTTAGGTTATAAAAAAGCTCACTAAGACTACAATACCCCTGCATCCGTATATACTTCGTATACTTTTACTTAACCGACCCATTAATATCTTCGCATATACTCCTCTTTTTGCAGATTGTTTATCCTCCTCTATCGCTCCTTAGCCCCTGCCATTTTCTTACTTCTACTCATTTTGTTTCAACTTACATACAATTTCACCCATTTCTCCTTTCATTTATTTCATTCCACTGATTTCTTTTCCACCTCCGTTGCTTTCTTCTTACTGCTGTAGAAAATCTAAAATTTGAGATACTAAAAAACTACTCTAGATTTTTAGAGAGATACCATCGTTGAACAAGATTGCAAACATGATTGATGAATTAGCAAATCCCTCGTTACAGAGAAGCGATGGGGTAGTTCTTGGGGAGGTTGAAATATAGTTGAGAAACTAATTAGAAAACTCAAAAACAGAATCTTAAAAAAAATATTTGCTCCTTAGCAATCAATTTAAAGCTTGAGATGTGTTATTGAGGAGGTAAACAATAGAGAAGATGATTGAAGCCATCGATGGCTAAAAGAAAAGGAGTTGTTGTAAGAAGTTCATCAGATTAAGAAAGGGAAAAATTGGAAAAGAAATGGTTTATCAGCTTTCCTTAATCTGTGTGCCCAGCGAGATGTTGCAATTATTTCCGAACAGAGGAAGTATATAAATACATTTATTAACCATATGATTTTTTAATGCACAAATGTCAGAAGTCATTAATAAAATAATAGTAAAATATTACAAGTTTAATAAACACCACGTCATCACATACATATTACAAATTACCGAAGACTTTCTTGTAGCCAATAGTTTTTTAGTTTTTTTGGATTTTTTAGTCGCATACTCGCATATCATGAACTTTAAGCAACTTCTTGTGATCTAGTATTTTTTCTTGTGTGTTCCACCATATATTCGCTCTAATTAGTTTACATTCATTAAATAAAGTTGTTTTTGGCTAAATTCAAACATTTGAATTTAACTTGTACTTTGAATCTTATTAATCTTCGAATGTAATTTGCAGCGTTTATTTTGAAGGGTTGTTTTTATATTATAATTCTTTTGAACACAGTCATTGGCAAATTATATCATAAGAAAAAATAGGTCATAGTTGTTTTTCTTTAATTATAAAGACTAGGCAAAATTGTCAAATAGACCCTCCAAGTATATCAAAAAAAATCAATTAAGCCCCTGAAGTACAAAACCCTCAATTAAACCTATGAACTTTACAAAAATAGTCAAATGAATCATTTTGCACATAGAGGTCCAGTTATCCGGTCACTCTGCTGACATGGCAATCAATCTGTCAATTTTTAATTCTTTTGTGTTTCTTTTTCCTTTTCTCTGTTTTTTGTACTCTCTTCCCCTCTTTTCTTCTGCAAAAGAGGGATTTCGACGATCAATCATGGAATCCAGGAATCCAGATGAAGACGAAGTAGGTCACCATGGTACCGATCAAATCAATTATGAGCCTAACCTTTTCTGTGGCAGCTGAGAGACAATGCGAGAAAGTGGATGAGGTTACCTGGCCGGCGGCGAGCTGACTCGGCAACGAAGATTCCCTCTACCCAGTCCCTAGATTCCGGACACCGCAATGAACAACACTTTGCTTCTGCGAGTGCAGCCGAAAGCAAAGTTTCGATAGTGCTTCAGCTCATCAGCGTCAATTTGTCGGTGGCCAAGTCGCCGACGGTGAAAGAGCCATCGTCGTACTCCATCCCATACTAACTCTTTTTTTCGCTATTTAGTTTGCAAAGGGACGCGTCATAGGAGACGATATTTTTGCAGAAAGTCTTACCATACCACAATAAAAGGAAGTCAAGGTCCTGGACTACGCCGTCGGACATTGATCCGGTCTTAGTATATATGTCCTAGCGACAATCACTTTTTAGAGATATATGTACTTGATCACATTCAGTTTTATACTCCGTATATTTGATATATACGGTATTGCACATTGATGATTAAGCATTTAGATTATCAATGTCTTATTCATAATTGTGTTCCCTTGGACTTATGTTGTCAATAAGTGAGAGCTTATATGATATAACATAAGGTCCCAAAATAACCCCAATCAGTGATCATCAAGAAAGGGATATTGATGATATGCGATAAGATTGGTATGTGGAATGTATCATACTTTTAGAAAGTATAGTTGATCTCACAACTATGAGTTCCTGTAATTCATGATGGTCACATAGATATTTTAGAGAATATTGGCATACACACCGAGAAACCATTTGATAAGTTCTATTCATGTGTCTATGGGATTATCGGCGTATAGAGTAGTATAATAGTCCTCCGACTTGAGGTTAATACGTACTACATGTGCGGAGTGATGTACTTTGACCATGATCAACGCTTGCACTCTAATCGGGGTAGATGCGGCATGTGTTGGGTGCATCACGAAGCACATGGAGTAGTAGTTGAGTCAAGAAAGGATTCATTCCTCCTGTAGATTAAGAGAGAACATTCTACTTCTCATATCTAGATGGATAATAAAGTCATTGGTCAATACAAAAATATATTCATTTTGGATATCGAATATGATCGTTATGGATTCATCTAGAAAGATTTAGAGATAGAGACTAAGTTATTGGAATAGACACAATATCAAGTTTTAGACTTAGTTGAATGGTCGTTGAATGAAAGGACAATATCACTATGAGCTTTATATTACTGGGAGTTTGAATAGTTCTCGCAAACGTTCTTATATATTAAGAATGTCTGGTAAATCGTCTAGGGATTCTGCTAAGACCTTAATTTTATTAGTGCTTAATATACAAGGCCCTATGGGTCACACATCAAGTGATTATACCTTCCGATTGAATTGTTAGAAGGAATTAAATATTATTGATTGGATTAAATGATATTTAATTCATAATGCTAAAATTAAGATGAGTTAGTTATTAATTAGATTAATATATTTCATTCATGATGTTGAAGGAGAGTTCTATTTGATAGAATTAATTAAGAATGATAAATTAGATTTATTGTACGTAATTAAGATGTATTTATAATTAAATAAATATGATATTTTCCTTTGTAATTTAAAATTGAAAAGGAGATCAAATACTAAATATTAATAAAGAGAAGAAGTGAGTGGTGTGAGCCCTCCTTCAATTCTCTCTTATTATTAGTTTGCGCAAGAGCGCCACGGTCTCTCCCTACCAGGTCTAAGGTTTGGTTTTTCCTTAACAGATCTAAGGTTTAGTTCTTTCGGCCGGTGAATCCCCTTCGCTTGTGTCCGGCGCTGGGATTGGATTTGAGGCAGATTGACAAGAATCCTTGCCCAAGTTTGATGACATTGAAGCCAGTGTTCGGCGATCGATTTCTTCCTGAGCAGAGTAGCAAGGGCATGGCAGCAATGAAGATGACCGCTAGCAGTGAATTTGCTACGAGCGCGGGACGCGGAGAGGTGCACGGATTTCGAACAGGTCAGATGACGATTGACAATGGAGGGTCAATTAGAGTGGTACCAAGGATACGACCTCCTCCTGAACCTCCACCATAGGTTGTACGAGATGCTAGAGTCTGTGGAGGTTTTCCTATTAGTTATTTTTATTCTGTCATTTGGCTTCTTGTTATCGTCTATGTTTTCAGGTTTGTTAGTTTGTTTGGGAATTCAGCCTTTTTTATGTCATTGAATATGTTTGGATCTATGGGAACATGGATGGCTATGTCAAGCCCGCTACATGGTTGGCGATTCGCGTTGCTCTTTCAGGGGTGACCGTCTCTAAGTCTGATCATAGGGTTTACAGTCATAGTTGTTGGATTTTAGTTGGTGTCAGTTTTGTTTTTCCTTTGATTGATGTAATGATCCTGAAATTTATGATATGAAAGAAGGCTAGTTGGCGATAAAAAAAAAATCTCTCTTATTATTATTGTTGTTATATTATATCATTCTATTTAATTGATAATAAATAAAGTTGTAATTAAATAAAAGAAACAAAATTGATGATTTGTTGATTTAAGAGGGCGGTGGCTGAACCTCTCCTCTTAATTGACTAATTATATTTTGTGAAATTTATTTAATAATCATCGAGTATTGGTCCGATTAGGATTAGAACTCATTAATGATAAAGACTTTTATTGCAATTGGAGAACTAGTTTAGAACTAGTATAAATACATCCTCCTCCTTCATAATTCATATACCAGTTTTCTAGATTCAGTATTATTAGTTTATTTCCCTGCGAAGAGATTTCCTAGTCTTTCTATAAGGAAGATCTAATTGTTCTTTCGGAAAGGAGAAATCGCGTGGATACCTAAGGTCAAGGATTATCACCGCTGGTCTGGAAGATCTGTAAATTCTAACTCAGATCTGTTATTTTGTTATATTCATTGTTTTGTCATAATTAGGGAAGATATGTTTGGGAAAATTTTAAACATCCGTTGTTGTACTTTCGAGGTACGTTACAAGAATTTGGTAACATTGTTCCGCCGCCAGCAATGGTGGGAAAAGCTGAAAATCTACGTTGCCAAGCCGCCTTCCTGGCTGGAGTTCC